ACAGACACACAGCCACACACACAGACACACAACCACACCAGAGGTGTGCGTGTGAATTATGCATGGGTTTATGGAGCCATAAACTACCCAAGATTAAAAGGTATGAGTGTGTTGCTGCAGTGTGTGTGTGTGTGTCTTAATCTGGCCTGGCGGTGTGAGAGGGAGTTAGATGGTTGTGTGTGTGTGTGTGTGTGTGTGTGTGTGTGTGTCTGTGTGTGTGTGTGTGTGTGTGTGTGTATCAACGCACCAAAAGAGTCACTTCCTCTTTACACGGCGATGAAAGTCATTTAACAGCAAAGCTCTGGAATCAAACCACGGAGCCGGTTGATTGGTCGGCTGCTGTCGGCTGCAGCGTGACATTCATGTTTTCGGCCAATCAGAGAGCAGAATCCAGCTGAATATCTTGTTCTCTTCTTTAATGGCAGAATATATATGTATATATATATATATATATATATATATATATATACACAACTATTAAACCGTGTGTTTTTTTTTAAAGTAGCATTTCGGAGCTTTTATTTTGTCAGCTGAAAATCAATCTTTTATGTGTTGATGATGAATGTTTGTGATAAACTGAAGGATGAAGTGTTCCTTTATGTGTTGATGTTGAATGTTTGTGATGAACTGAAGGATGAAGTGTTCCTTTATGTGTTGATGATGAATGTTTGTGATGAACTGAAGGATGAAGTGTTCCTTTATGTGTTGATGATGAATGTTTGTGATGAACTGAAGGATGAAGTGTTCCTTTATGTGTTGATGATGAATGTTTGTGATAAACTGAAGGATGAAGTGTTTCTTTATGTGTTGATGTTGAATGTTTGTGATGAACTGAAGGATGAAGTGTTTCTTTATGTGTTGATGTTGAATGTTTGTGATAAACTGAAGGATGAAGTGTTCCTTTATGTGTTGATGATGAATGTTTGTGATAAACTGAAGGATGAAGTGTTCCTTTATGTGTTGATGAATGTTTGTGATAAACTGAAGGATGAAGTGTTCCTTTATGTGTTGATGTTGAATGTTTGTGATGAACTGAAGGATGAAGTGTTCCTTTATGTGTTGATGTTGAATGTTTGTGATAAACTGAAGGATGAAGTGTTTCCTTTATGTGTTGATGTTGAATGTTTGTGATAAACTGAAGGATGAAGTGTTCCTTTATGTGTTGATGATGAATGTTTGTGATGAACTGAAGGATGAAGTGTTCCTTTATGTGTTGATGATGAATGTGTGTGATGAACTGAAGGTTGAAGTGTTTATTTTTGTATTGATGTTGAATGTTTGTGATAAACTGAAGGATGAAGTGGTGATGTTACCTTGTAGCCCATGTTGTGTGTGCGGTAACACACGCTGTGTTGCTGTTGGTGTTGCTTAGAAACGGTCTGCTGCCTTCAGGTTCCCCCTCATGGCCTCTGAAAATATATGTTCACATATAAACAGTCAGCTTTTTGCACGACAACATCTTTCACTTCTCTTAAATATTTGCATAAAAGCTACTTATCAAGTTTCTTAAGACTTAAAAAATGCTCTTAAATTTAAACAGAAACTCCCAAAAAAACAGAATTGGTCACGATTAATATGTATTTTAAAAAAATGGGTTTTACTTATGTTTTTGCAACCCTCCAGCGATCTCTCTAGTACTGTGCAAAATTGAAAAAAAAATTGAGGTACTTGTACATTACTTGAGTACCTTCATGCTACTTTGTTAGCATGATTCATTTCTATGATTGTAGTTAATTTAAATGTTCTCTGAAATCAAATTTTGTACAGTGTGCAGATCTTTTACCCAAAAAATAGATCATCATGTTTAGATTCTTACTTTGATACAAAACCTTCTGGTTCCTAACTTCTCATTTTAGCTGCAACACAAAGTGAGATTGTAACATTTGTTGTGTACTTTAATAAATGTATAGTTTTCCTTAAGTCACCCTTCACATACATCCTAACTTATCTAACAGGTGAATCAGATTTTCTGCTTGATCTCTTTAATATTGTTAAATCAACCGTTAGAATTCATCGTGAGGCACAACATCAACACAACATTTATGTCTCTAATATCAGCTGTTATTTTAACTCTCGTTTCATCACCGTTGACCTTCAGCTTCTGTGACTTTTCCCCAGAAATCAGACATATGAAGTGTCAAATCCTGTGTTTGTCTCAGGGAAATTGTGCAGCGAGCAAGTTCTCATCTATCCTACGTTCAGTAAACACATCTTAACCGTAACAAACCCTCTTAAACCACCTTTATTATGCTTATTTCTGCACTTTTTTCTTTCATTTATCACACACGTTTTATTGTGTTGTGTATTAAATAATAAAATAAAAATGTAATCAGAAAATGGGGAAGAAAGAAAGGAAAATAACTATATGTATATATAAAAATATATATATTTTATGAATCTATATTTAGAATAATTTATTAAAGGCAGGCCATCACCATTAGATACACTGAGACCGATCGACTGATAGATTCATTGATAAATACATAGACGTGTTCATGCGTCTCCATCTTATCTGTGTTTAGCTCATCTGCGGTGTGACGCTGATATTCGTTGACCTGGGTTAAGTGATGCTCCTCCGTCTACCGCGCGTCCTTCCTCTGGATTTATCGTCGCCACGGAACCGAGCAGGTTGTTGTTGTTACCGCCGCCATGTTTCCCGGTCCGGTCCGAGGCCGCTGTCGGTGTCCGGTGGCATTTGGAGAACCGGAGCGTCTGCGAGTCCTCTCTCTCTCTCTCTCTCTCTCCTCTCCGCCGCCGCACCGAGAGTCAAGCTGGCGACAGGAAGAAGAAGAAAGCGTTTCCGTCGAGGTTTTTCAAAAGAAGAGCGGTAGATGGCTCGTGAGGATTTCTTCCTTATGTAATGGCATGAAATAGAAACGGTAGTACAAATAATTTTTGGAAATAGTCTGATGTTGACAGCAAAATGGAAGTACATTTACTTAAATACTACAATATTACTACTCCCACTACATCTTAAAGGGAAATATTGTATTTATTTCATAGCTTTAGATACTTTACCGATTAAGATTGTTCATACAAAAAATAAATTATAATATTTCAAATTTTAAGTAGCTTCCCTTTTTCCAGCTATATCTCTTATATGGAGGACATAAAGTAGTAAAAATGAATAAATGTATACATAAAAATACAGAATTAAAGAAAGTTAATAAATAATGATTTAAGTGATGTGCACATCAAAGCAGCACTAACTGTTTTTCAGTAAATGGGCCAGTCTTCAAAATGAGTGCTTTTACTTTTAAATAATTTAATGCAGGACTTTGACTTGTAACACAACATTATTATACTGTAGTAATGGTACGTTTACTCCAATAAAAGCTCTGAATACTTACTCCACAACTGCCTGTAGGGAACTTCCACATTTCTTGGTTTCAGAAATGACGTATTACTGTTATATATATTTTATTTTGAAGGGAAGAGATAATCACCTGATATCCTGTCCTGGTTTACTAAATTCTGTGTAACTTGACAGATTTCTCCGCAGCAGCCAAGACACGCAATTTCTCTGCAGAGAGAAGATGATGAGACAGAGAGAGAGAGAGACAGACCAATCTGTCCTGTACCAGTGATTGATTGATTATTGAATGTCATCATCACTATTACCAATACTGTCATCGTACCATCAGAGTATTATTGTAGTAGTGCTTATATTTAAATTGTTGGGAATGTATTTCTCTACATAAACCATGTCCTTTTATTTTGGTTTGATTATGCTAATGTTCTTAAAATTGTGTGTGTGTGTGTGTGTGTGTGTGTGTGTATATATATATATATGTGTATAT